ATGCTTCTCCAGCTACATAATGTTCTTGTAGATACCGCGCCCATTTGTGCCAGAAGAGCAGCGATTCTGAGCAGAAGAAAGCTTATAACACGTACTTGGCAATTATTGTACCTATCTAAAGACTAGGTACAACCTCGCAGAAAATCCGATGCATGCACTTGGGCTGCAAGAAATATGGTCTGAAAGTATTCCCGATTAACAGCAGTCGAGACCGAGAAAAAGAGAAAATATGACCTATTTGCTAATAAGCTTGATCAGAGATGAAGTGCAGGACCAAAATAATTTTGTTTATCATGACTTGGGATGGGATTGTAAAGGACTTCTACAAATGCTGTGTGAAGGAGAATGGTATATCAGACTACGTCGAGGCATACATCCAGTCGATAGCTCTCAACTAGGCTCGAAAGCATCTCCTTTGACAGTGGATATGGATTCCACGAGGACGAAGCGAGAACGATGAGCACAACTAATCTGAGCGCGGGACAAGTACTGTTAGAATGCCGGAATGCGATCTAGTGCCAGAACCAATAAAGCGAAAATTGAAACTAACCTCCACATTTTATTTATTTATCTTTATTTTTGGGGCATTAGTTATATTACAAAAACAATTTCTTGTCCGCTAAAAAAGTAAAAATGATATGTATTCTTAGTTTTTCACGCTTTATTAAATCGGTTATTATAATTTCATATTTGATTCCGAGACAAATTCATTTGTCTATGATGAAAGTGCAAAATTCAGTTTTTAAAATCAAACACACTAAGTAACTGACAAATTTGTGATATTTAATTGAAATTTTAAAAATTGATATTTATAGAAAACTATTAAAAAATAAAGTAAAAAATTACATTATTAATTAAAGTAAATTTAAATTCAAATGAAAAAGAAACAATAAGTTTCATAGTGACTTCCATGATATTAAATTTTATTTTGTGTACAAAGTTATCAATTTTTTCTTTGTATGATTTTGTTTGATAAATATATTTTGAAAACATTTCACGAATAAAAGTTCAAAATGTACAACATGCCTTCACGTAACAAATAACGTAAACAGAAATAAATTACGCGTAAACAGAAATAAATAGAAGAACCAAGCTGATTTAAAAATGATAGAATGTGAAATAAAAAAGCAAACACCTGAAAACGAAAAAGGTTTACAGATCTTTTATTTTTTGGTATTTCACGGATTTTGAAATTACAGTAGATGGTGAGGTGCACTTTGGTTGGTGATTGGAAGAGTTAATAGTAATAAGATATTATGAAAGTCAGTACTAAGTTAATATTGGTAGTTACTATGTATTACTATTATTAAGTTTAGTAAGTTAGTAATAGTTAATAATATTAACTTAAAGAAGATTTTAGTTGTCGCTCCCTTTATTGAATGAAGGAATGGATGAACCACTGAGGAAAGGAATGGATAAAGAAGTACTGAATGAAGGAGTGGAGAAGGAAGTACTGATTCAAGGACCTGATAATGAAGGAATGGATAAGGAGATACTGAGTGAAGGAATGGATAATGAAGAAATGGATGAAAAAGTACAAAATGAAGGAATGGATAAGGAGGTACTGAATGAAGGAATTGATGAAGTAGTAAAGATTGAAGGAATAGATAATGAAGGGATGGATGAAGAAGTGCAGAGTGAAGGAATGGATAAGAAGGTACTGAATGAAGGAACTGATGAAGTAGTAAAGATTGAAGGGATGGATGAAGAAGTACAGAATGAAGGAATGGATAAGAAGGTACTGAATGAAGGAATTGATGAAGTAGTAAAGATTGAAGGGATGGATGAAGAAGTACAGGATGAAGGAATGGATAAGAAGGTACTGAATGAAGGAATTGATGAAGTAG